CCCTTTCTCCTCTTTCTCACCCCACCCCCTCTCCTTTCTCTTTCTCCTCCCTCCCCCACCTTTGCTGTAGCGTGGCCGAGCCCAGTATAGTCTGCGGGTACAGGGAGCAGCTGTTTCCTGTACCCGGCCGGACTAACAGGAAGTGCACACTCAGTGTGCACTTCCTGTTAGTCCGGCCGGGTAAAGGAGACAGCTGCTCCCTGTACCCGTCGGATCATCATGCCGCAGGGCTTGGCCACGCTACAGCAAAGGAAGCTGACAGGAGGGAGCGCTGAACGCTTCCCTCCTGTCAGCCTCTCCTCAGGCTGCGCCCGGGAGGTGCGGTCCACCCTCATGGACGCACCGCCCGGGCAAAGCTGCAGCTGCCTGAGGCTCTCTACAGAGCGCTTGGGCGGCTGCAGTATGGGGGGGGGGCGGCGGGGCTGGTCATGGCACCCCCCACCCTGGTGGCACCCGGGGTGGACCCCCCCCCGCACCCCCCTTAGTACGCCACTGCTCTAGGTACACCCCTTATGAAGGGTAAATCAAATCTGTTTAATCTGGCCAACTGGTCCACTTATATACAAAATCAGGAGGCTGAAAAACTCACCCAGAACACTCCCACAAAATGTTTACAGTGTCAGCATGACTAAGCATAAATTACATAAAATATAAATACACATAAAAATACATAATAATCATATAGGAACCCCCACAAATGTTATATCCCCCGATAACTTGGATCTGAGCATACAAATTGTCCAAATAGTGCTCAGATCCATGCAGTGTAGGTAAGGAGCGTTTGTCACAGAGCCATTTTAACTAATCCTAACTTACTTGTTGTTGTGTGCAGCAACTTTGTTTAATGTCTCTTGTTTTCTTTTTCAGATGGATCCCACTATAGAGTTGCTGATGGAAAGGGTTAGGTCTGCTGTGCAGGAGAGAGGGATGTCTTGGCTGCAGGAATGCCTGGGAGCTGCTGTTCCAGTACCAGGGCCTTCAGGAGGTCCTGTTCAGGTGATCGCGGGAGACAAGCTGGTGCGGCCGCACAGTATCTCAGTGCTAAGGGGTCTGGCATGGCCGCCAATGGTTCCGGAGTGACGCAGCACTGTATGGTGGACGGCAGGACTGCAGCGTCTTCCACACAGCACCTCCTGGTGGATGGCAGGACTGGTCATACAGCACACGTGAGGGCTCCAGGGGGCGGAGGAGTGCTGCCATGCCTAGACTTTCGGTGGAGGGAATTACTTCAGTGCCCGGTGAGCCGGCCCACAGTCGGCTCCGGGAGTGTCCCCCTTCTCTTAACTTGGGTGGCCCAGCAGTGGTAGGGATCCCCCCCATGACCCCTGGTCAGCATGTCAGCTTCCATAACTTGAAATCGTTGGCGGAATTTCCAGACGTTGTGAAGGACAAGTTTTGTAAAGAGGTTCAATTGGGGAGGATGGCCGGTCCCTTTGAAGAGGCCCCCATACCCAATCTCCGTGTATCTCCATTGGGAGTTGTGCCAAAAAAGGAGCCCGGTAAGTTCCAGCTTATCCATCACCTTTCGTACCCGAAGGGGTCGTCAGTCAATGACGACATCGATGAGGCGTTGCTCAGTGTCCTATGTATCATTCGACAAAGTTGATTTGGTTAGGGACGCGGGCCAGGGGGCTTTGCGGGCGAAAGCTGATGTGGAGGTGGCATTTTGGCATTTTGGCATTTTTTAACCAATGCATCCGAATGTCGCCTACCGGCTGACAAGTTAACGGCACTTTGGAGGGCGTTTCATGAAGTGCAGACAGCACGGAAGGTTATGCTGCAGACGCTGCAATCCTTGTTAGGTCATCTGAATTTTGCTTGTCGGGTCGTACCAGTGGTTAGAAGATTTCTCGCGAAGGCTACTAGTGGGATCAGTTCTCCACACCACTTTGTCCAAATTACGGCAACAATGAGGGTGGATCTTGAGGTTTGGGATGCTTTCCTTAAAGATTTTAACAGCCGGGTCTTTTTCCGGGAAAAGGCGGTCTCCTCTCTGGAATTGGAACTATTTACAGATGCTTCAGGGAGCGTGGGGTTCGGAGCTTTTTTCGCCAGTCAATGGTGCACGGAACCGTGGTCGGAATGTTAGAAAGTGGATCCTATCATCCGCAATTTGGCTTTTCTGGAACTATTTCCCTTAGTGGTTTCATTGGCATTATGGGAATCCGATGTTACGGAACAAAAAAGTTATTTTCTTCATGGACAATATGTCAGTGGTGGGGACAGTGAATCAGTTATCTGTGTCCTCGGTTTCTGTGATTCGCTTGTTGCAGCGCATTGTACTACACTGTATGCAATATAATATTGTCTTTAGGGCACGTCATGTGACTGGGTTCATAAATATTATTGCCGATGTGTTGTCTTGTTCGCAGTGGGAGAGATTCCGCTCAGTGGTCCCTGATGGAAAAGCCGGAGGGGCTGGTCTGCCCGGACGACATGTGGCAGCTCAAGACCGTCTGCTAGGGCGCATGATACGGAATTCCTTGGTGCCTAGTATGTGGACGGCGTATGTCAAAGTATGGAGGGCATGGGACGAGGCGTGGGATTGTGCAAGGAGACATCACTCTCCCGAGGTACCATTGGATGTTCTGTTGTGGTAATTTTGAGTGTTATTTTCCACTGGAGCCTCGCCTTCGGTTGCAGATCAGTACTTGTCGGCATTAGTGTTCCTGTTTAAGCTGAACACAGCAGGGTTTGTAGCTGATGGAGCAGTGAAACTAAGTGGAATGGGCCTTAACATAGCTAGGAGGCAGGCATACAAGGGGTTAAGGTTTAAGTGGGTTGACAGGTCAAGGGAGGGGGTCTATAGGAGTATTAATAACTGACATTTTGTGTAGGAGCCATTTTAACTAATCCCGACTTACTTGTTGTCCCACTCTCCCTCAATTGTTTTGGTTTTTGGTATGGGTATGTCACTTTTGTTATCGGCTGGTGCGGGCGGGGGATGTAAGTAGGAATGGTAGCTGGAAGCTTGGAAGTTCTGTACCAATATTTACTTGGTTAGATTTGGTATTTGGTAGGTTAGAGCCCGTTGGTGGCTCTCAACCTGGTGGTGTAGGGGTGTCTCTGTATACCCCCTACAATGTTAAAACTGTTATATTACGTTGCCTGTTGTGGCTGTGTGTGTTGTATTATGCAATTTAATACTGTTATTGATTATGGATGTTTAGTTATGTTATGGGTCATTGTCAGGGGGTATAATGTTTGGGGATGTAGTTAATGGCATATGTACAGAGTTTGGTCTGACAATGACCCTTTGTGAAAATATATATATACCTTGTAATTATTAAAGCCGTGACATTTACATTCACTTTAATTTAGTGTCTGTGTCTTTCTGGGAAGGGGGGTAAGTCAGATAATGTAAAGCTATGCCGAAAGGATGACTATGCGCATGTCAAGAATAGCACACTAGTGAAAGCTGACCAGTAGCTTCACACCCACCCTCTCTGCCACACAAATTCTTTCCTTCCGCCAGTCCCCCCTGAAATCTCTCCCCCTCCAGTGAGGGGAAGCGACAATAATAAAGGAATTGGGCTAAGGAATTTTCTTTAGAAAGGTGAGTTTATTCTTAATTCTTTTTTTTATTTTTTTTATTTAGGGACATGCCGTCAAGCAATTCTCTAACCAAAATAGTGGTTTATTAACCCTTTAATCCGTTTATTTAAAAAATAAATTAATAAATATATATATATATATATATATATATATATATATATATATATAAACAATAAAAGCTTGCACTCCTCGGTCACCTTCAGTAATGCCAGGTGCTGGTCTGGCAAATTATGTAGAATCAGCAGAAAAAAACCACACTCCAGGGACTTTGTAGAGTTAAAATAAGACTTAACTTTTATTTAATCCATCATTTTATGGATTAAATAAAAGTTAAGTATTATTTCAACACTACAAAGTCCGTGGAGTGCGTTTTTTTAATTATATATATATATATATATATATATATATATATATATATTATATTATCATTTAAAAATTGAGGGATTGACTCAAACATGGGGCTGACTTTCCAAAACTGTCTTGGTGTTAGAATGCTCTAGAGCAGTTTAGAAGTATTAGGTCATGCCATAAACATGGCTGTGACATAATATTTTATATACTGTCCAAATTAATTCTGTGATGGTTTTAACGACAATATAAAGTGCACCACTAAAAAAAATATTGCAACCACATTTACCGAGGCGTTCTTAATTACATTTTTTTTTTTATTTTTTTATTAGAAAGCCATAAATAGCAGTTGTTTTAGAGAGATTATTAAGCTGATATCACTCAAAGGAATCTCAAATATTTTGTTTTGCTTTGTAGCTTTTAAAGACTGCCTAGTGCTGATAAAGAAACATAAAATGATAAAAAATTAAAACAAATTAATATATCTGTTCATATATTTTTAGGATGCATATCTATCTATGATGGTACCTACAGTGTCCTTTTAAAAAAAGGTAGTGGCCATCAAAGCAAATATATAAATGCTTGATGTCAGGGCTCAAAATTTCCACTCACCCCTAGTATTTGTTGAGTTGATTTTAGCCATGGTGAGTGTGCCATGAATCCTGCAGTCTTGCAGTTGCAAGTAACTTTTAAGACCTGGCTAGTAGCGTAAGACTTAAAATTGTAAGCCCTGATGATGTCATTACAGTGCGGTTTATAATAATAAGCATCATTACAGGGCTGATGTGTTTGGTGCTGTTGTAATCTTACATCAGGATAGTCAAAAAAAGTCAATGGACGTAATGTATGATGCATGCATGGCTGGGAACAATAGGAGTTACAGTTTAGGGCCATGCACTCTGTAATCCCTTAACTGTAAACCCCTAACCCACGGCATTGTGTGTGGATGTGACAGATTCCATACTCTCTATAGTGCCCATTATTGAAGGTGTTGCTATGACAGTGTGCTCTTTCTAATACAGTGACATTTCGCCCAAGTAATGCTAAACATTTAAAGTCCATCATCGATTTGCTGTAGGCATAATGCTGCAAAATATGTTGGCGTTCTATGCAAGCTAGTTATAATCACATACGTACAACTCACAGCACTTATGATGGTTTTGGCAGTATTCTCATGGCAGGAAAAGGGCAAGGGGAACCAGTTTAATAGCATACTAGGTATAATGCTGGGTCACATTCAAGTTATTAAATTCTGATTTTGACAATCCTACTCTAGAGAGGAGGTTCTGGTAAAAAGGTCTTATTTTCTGGAGTTTTTTTGTTTTTGTTTTATTGTTTCCATCTTTAAATTCTTATTCTAGAAAAGTAAATAATATATAAAAGAGTTTGAATAAAAGACAAAACCTATGTCAAAACGTTCTTTAAAAAAAATCCACCCACATATCTGTTTCACAGTCACCTGGTTCTGCAACCAAACAGGTCCGACCGGCATTTAATCAAATAGAGAGGCGGGAGCTGTCCTATTTATGAAACAAGGAATGTCTGCCAAATATAAATTTACGTCCTTTATCTAAACGTGTTATAATGCTATTGTGTAAAATGCAAGGGCTTATTCACAAAACAATGACTTGTCGAAAGCTGACTGTTACATTTTCACATATCATTTCAGATAAAATAGCTGAGTTAGGAAATATACATTGTCATCAACCTACAAAATACTGTTTGGTGTGATCTATTAATGCCTCTCAACTGTCCCAATTTTGGCGGAACAGTCTCGATTTTTGGGTCCTGTCCTATTTCCTGGTGTCCCAGTTTTCTGGACACCAGGAAGCTGTCCCTAAAAACTTAGCGCAAGAGCATTGACGCGCTAACACTGCACTCAGGGCTCCAGGATCCTGCAGACAGCATTGAAACAGCACTCATTGCATGTCCTGCCTTCAATGGGCCTGCCTGCTTCATTGCAAAGTAGGCTGGTGTGTATTTGCAGCAGGATGACCTGCTGGTTATTCGGCGCAGTCATAATGCAATCATGTCACTGGCCAGTCCCCTTTACCCACTGGTGTCCCACTTCCCAGGACGCCGATGTTGCAGGTATGTAGATTGAATTTACAGACAGCAATCTGGTACTTGGTCAACATCTTTACAGCGTAATCACTTAAACCCCAATCACAGAGAAAAATACAAACATTTGTACAGAGTGTACCAGTAAAAAACAGCCAGATAACAACTCTAGTTCTCACCCATTCTAAAAATTTGATTAAAAGGGAAACAATCACTTCTCTGAAACTTTTACCACTGGATAAAACATTGAAACTCACCTGTTACCTGTGATAACATTTTTAATGTGATGCTCCATTTCTTTTAAATGTATAATAAAGATATGACTTTACAATCCAGTATTATCAAGGCACAGTGCGGGCACACAATGCAAATTTACATTAAATACAGGGAATAGGTGAAAACTGTATTAAAATTCCTGGGAATGTCAGTTCCCCTTTAAAAATCAATCTTAAATCTCCAATTCCTGATAATAAACATGTTATTATTGTGACATGATGACAATCTATAAATAAGATGGATCAGCATTGGAAATTGGATTGTCTCTGCTCTGGATTTAATACACTTTCCAGGATCTGATGTAAGTGGAGTATCACATGAGTTGTATTGGAAACCTGCTATCTTATATCACACTGGAAACACAATTTATTTTATTTAAGGGAAAATCCCTCTTAATAAATCTCCGTATTACCATTATCAGCAAACCTTTTACTATTCAGTGGAATTCAAAGGAGTTATGCTTACTTAATCAACACTACACAGCATTGGCTGATATTCCACGATAACTGGCAGAAACCCATGGAAATATTTTTTTTTTCACAAGTCGTTTCCTTTTTTATTATACTTATTGCATGTGGTGAAAATATTTTAACAGCTGAAAATCTTTTAAATGCTGAACAAAGAGACCAGTGGGAATTTTCTGAGATGATTCATGATCTGTCAGAAATCACAATTTATTGAATTTTTTTTCCAATAAGTTTTGCCTTAAAGGAAGCTTTGATATTTGGCGTGTTTATTGTGTTTAGCATCCTAGTAAATGTTGTTTATATTTGTACCAATAGCTTGGCGTGCTATGCCGTCCTACAAAATAAGGGCTTTAACACCGTAGGGTGGTGGGCTCTCCCCCAGCCCAGACTTTCCATGGCAATTGTAGCCAATCCCGCCCATCGGCATCACGTGATCATGATGACACCACATTCAAATGACTTGGATCGGCGTGAGTGACAGATTCACTGCAAGTTTACTGTCTGGATTGTTGGGCAGATCCCCCAATTTATCATTAGTAAAATCACATCATTATGTGATAAAAAGTAAATAAATACACACTTAGAATAAAATTATATTTCCTTTTCTTATTGGGATTTTGTTCCCTTTATTCCCTGGCCATCTCTTCCCTGAGGTGGCCCTCCCCGCCCCCCTACCCGTGGCTACATTTGCAACTTTCCTCTGGTTTCCCGCACCGTTCGGGCAGGGAACTCTATTAAATCTTGTGTATAGATGAGAACGGGCTGTTTGCGTTTTTTTCTGCATAGGAGTTCGGTAGTTTGTGCACGAACTGGCTGTTCATGGCTATCTGTTCTCAAGGTTATTCCACTCACATGCTAACCGTTCTAAGCGTTCGGTAATTTTACACGAACGGTCCATTTGTGGAATTCTCCGTATGTTTCCCATGTATACATTCCGCTGGCTTTTTAGTGCCATTTTAGCCTCGGCTCTCACGAGACCCGTGATGGCCATCTTGTTGGTGTGTTAGAGACGGAGTTTGCTCTCATCACTACTAGACTCTCGTTGATTTTCATTTTTTGCTTTCGATCTGTGCTGTGCAAGCTATCAGGGACCTGGTGAGGTTGGTGTTATACCCCTAAGGACTGCCAGTAAGGTTTATCCTAGTATTCTGGCAAGGGGTGAGCCACCATTTGCGTAATGCCCAGAGTGCTGCTGAACGGAATCTGTATTTGCAATTCCGATTTTCTTGTGTGAGCCCCAGTGATCATAATAAGAGTCTGCTTATTACCACATGCCATAAGGCTGGGAGTGAGTGAAGGCCCACGGCCTGTTTACATCCCTACCGACCAGTGCTTATACCTCTCATAACTATGCCTGTTAGAAGCAGTATTTGTACCCATATAAGTCTATCATGGAAGACACCCAGAACTCCATGGATCTCCAGGCTCCTAAACTGGCTGATCTTGGAGTTAAAGAGCTAGGCCCACAGGCACAGGGAAAACTGTTTGGAGAACTGTTTATGAAGGAACTAAACAAACATGTAAGTAAGGCCCATACCTCCATGCACAGGGTCTTTAGAGGCAACCCCACCAGGGGTGTTTTTTCCAGGGCTGGTCGACAAAGGGGCCGTGCCAAAAGACGATTTTGACCATCGGGCCCCTGTACAGGGGGATTGGAGAGCTACACCCACAACCATTCTACCCAGAAGTGGGTGCACAGCAACAATACCCCTACTACCGGGGAGTGGACAGAGGTCGCAGAGGATGCAAACGTGCCCACGCAAGATTCCCCACAGGTAAGAGACCATCTTTTACATGAGCCTACTTTAACGATTACCGCAGACCGTATTTCTCTTTTTTTCCAGAACTGTGAAAAACTGTCTACAGATGCATGGGTGTTGCAGACCGTCAAGGGTTATCACATCGAACTGCAGACGTTCCCTACACAAAAGCACCCCCCCCGTCGTCCCCTATGCCTCTCAGCCACGGACGCTCATCTTATAGAATTGAACCTCCGCGAATTACGCACGAAAGGCGAATTCAGACCAGTGATCAATCTAAGGGATCTAAACGTACACGTTGCATACCTGTAACATAGTCTTCCTCTCCTTGCAGGGCCATGAGGGAAGGTATCTTTAGGTTTAAATACCTGCTTTACTATTCTGATTGGCTGAAATCGCTCTTTGACCCCAAAACGTGCACGCGCGGCGCGTGCCTGATGTCACGTGCGCGCCGACGTAG